GAAAAGTAAGACTCAGTCGCAGGAGTAAATTCTCTTCTAGAACGAGGACCCGTAGTCAATCTAGGGAGGATGAACACACGATCTCTGGGACAGTACGTGTATAAGTCTGATCTTTCGGTTTCGTAGAGGAGGCCATCGTCAGTGATCGTGTGTTCATCCTCCTTACAACAGGAACCTGGGATTCTCACATTCGCATTCATCCGTGTAATTAGTACAATTCTTGGCAAATAAAAAAGTCCTCCAATAAGTTTCCTACTTTAAAACGGTTCGATAGTGGCCTTTTACTGGTGAGGTTCAAATTCCTGCATCCATTTCTTAATTATTTTTCTACAGAACAGCGGTAGATGTTCCCTGTGAATGGTCTCAATGGGCATATAACGATATTTTTAGTGTTCGTCAAATAAAATCGTCTTGCTTACTTGTGGACTGATCTGGCTAACCATGTTTATTTATGGACACGGTTCTATCATTAATAATCCACCTTACTAATACTGGAAATACTTGCTAACGACTCCGCAAAAACCCTTTGGCTACTAATTTCCGTACCCTTTCGTAGTAGACTGCTGATAGACATTGTCTGGATATCTTTGTCCAACGGCGTGAGGTAGAAAAGTGATGGCGCGTCGCGGGTACTCAATATGTGACTGTTTACGCCCAGTAATCCTCGGTGTGACAAAACAAACGTCTGCCCAACGGGTTTGTTACTGAGTTCCATGGCATGAAACGCCACAAATGTGTTAAAGAGAAGTTGTATAGCCGAATTCATCCTCTTTTCTGGGAAACGGTGAAATTTCCCATACCAACCTTTACCTGATCATCATGGAAACAAAATCAATTTTTTCCTTTCTAGGAGGGATATATTTCATTGATGTTTTGGCAGATTTTGAATAATTCATATTGACCCAACTGTGAAAAACTCGGCGCCTCGGTGGGATTCGAACCCACGCAGTAAGGGGAAGGCTTTAGCGCAGCCAACGCTCTAACCACCTGAGCTACGAGGCCCCACCGGACGACGCGAGTTTAATCACATTTGGGTCAAGTTACCCGCCCAACCTACTGCAACGTCTGGAATCCACCAAATCTGATACAGTAAGTTGACTGCCCAAGCAGGTCAATATGAATTATTCAAAATCTGCCAAAACATCAATGAATTACGCGAGCCTGGTAGTCATCTGGTGGATTCTAGGTGAATTACTTAGGAAATCCTGCTTGGGCAGTCAACTTACTGTATCATAATTGGTGGATTCCAGACGTTGCAGTAGGTTGGGCGGGTAACTTGACCCAAATGTGATTAAACTCGCGTCGTCCGGTGGGGCCTCGTAGCTCAGGTGGTTAGAGCGTTGGCTGCGCTAAAGCCTTCCCCTTACTGCGTGGGTTCGAATCCCACCGAGGCGCCGAGTTTTTCACAGTTGGGTCAATATGGATATATTTCAGTCATTTTTTGTTTATATAAATGTTCGCTCACAGCATAATGCACACGAACATGAGATTTCGATCTGTGAATTTCCTTAGCGTAGGCAATTACTCGGATATCAAGATAGGTCGGATTTCACTCAAATCTGGCTTGTTTTCCTTTCGCAAAACAGAGTTGAAATGGGCCTTTCCTTAGTAAATAGCTTTCAGTACTTCGAATCAATTCAGCGAACCCAAACAACAGGACCAAATACATGGCGTACTGCAATTCAATCACGACATCTATTTCAAGTCAGCGAATGATCATCTCGTGCTAACAGTGATAGAAATTCCAAAGCCACCCCTCCCTCGTTGGCAGCGGCCGAAGTTACACGCTAAAGTCCACGCGCAAGTCTAGTAACAATACCGGCACATACATCATCACTCGCCACCTGCTTTCGTAAAAAGGAATTTTAAAAAACAAGTCTCAGAGTTAATTTCTCACAGACCTGGAAACTCTCGTGGCATTGTGCTGCCCCGCATAGATCGAGAGTGTGTGATTCTGTCGATATTGTCAGAAGTCGTCAAACCTGAGATTTGATTCTGCCGCTCGGCGTGACTGTATATGCGGATGCAAATGCAACACATCTTTTAATAAATCAGAACCGGTCTGAATACTTTGTGAAAGGAAATCTAATTCCCAATTAACGACAATTTCTTTTCTCAATTTTAAGATATTATGTTCTCCGTGAATGCTTATCTTCAGAAAGTATCTACTCCAGACAGCTCTTCGTGTACCATACAAGCCCTCCACATGCATCTTAATGAAATTTTCCACAGTTCGGCTGGAAGACATCCTAAATTGTGTAGAGGTTTGGCCTGATGGATGTCGACTCCGGAGTCATGAAGCCGCCCGACAGTTCAACCGCTGCTGATAGAAGCGAGCAGGAGGGTTCCAGGAAGCAGTTCAGAAGACGGCGATGCGATCAATGGCACGAGAAGTTTATTGGCCAGACGTTTCGGATTCTCATTCGAACCCATCGTCAGAGACAGTCGTAGGTAAGGGTAGTAGTGGCACAAGGAGTGCAGTATTTATAGCACGTGGCTGCCGTGGGACCCTATGCGTACTGCATTTAACAGCGTTCGCAGTCACCGCTGGGGTCGTAAATGATGCGATGGTAGTCCGCGCCCGATTCGTTAATGGCCGTGATTTCGTCATCCGTGTTGAATGCTGGTGTGACGATTTCTCGGCAAATTAGCTCACTGTCACTGGGATAATTGTTCGCCCGCGCGGAAAGGCCCGCTGCCACGGCAGGAAACGTCAGTAGTCGTTTACCGAATCTGGTTCAGTTGCGGACAAAGCGACTACGTCGGAGAAACTGGGAGATTTCTGCCGGCGCGAATTCTGGAGCACACAGCACCAGTGAGGCGGGGAGACGCTAGCTCTCAGGTGGCGGCTCATTCGACGTGGCCCGGCTCTTTTTTCAACTTTCAAGAGACCGAAATCCTCGCAACGGGTGACAACCGCGTGAGTCGCGAGTTGCTCGCGTCCTGGTTCTCAGGCCCGCAATCCATCAACAAGCGCAATGACCTCCCGTCACCGTATTCCGTGCTGAGGTTTTCCCTGGGCAGGGGAATCATTCACGTGGGGAGGGCTCGGGCGAACAATTATCCCAGTGACAGTGAGTTAATTTGCCCAGCAATCGTCACATCAGCATCCAGCACGGGTGACGAAATCACGACCATTAACGATTTGGGCACGGACTGACAAGCCACCATCGCATCAATTACGACCCCCCCGCGGTGATTGTGAAAGTTGTTAATTACAGTGCGTACATGGTCCCACGGCAGCCAAGTGCTATAAATACTGCCCTTCTTGTGCCACCATTGCCCCTTATCTGCGACTGTCTCTGGTGCTGGGTGCGAGTGAGAATCCGAAAGTTCAACCGTTGTTACCGATGCTTCCCACAGCCTAGTGGACACAGGGACGGCGACTTAGGTGTAAATCAGCTTATAATGGTCGTAGACTTCCGCTACACCTTCCTCAGGTGCCCGGACAGAGTCAAGATACTCGGAGGCTCATTCATCTCAGAGCTAAATGGTCCGTCTATGTGTGCCACAGAGGCCTGATCCGCGCATAAAGGACCAGAATTTCACGCAACAAGAAAGGGTTACAGCTGGCATCCCAGCCGAGTAAGAGTTCCATAAAGGCCAAAATAAGGAGGAGGAGGAGGAGGAGGAGGAGGAGGAGGAGGAGGAGGTATTGCAGTCTGGCTATCCGTCCTGAGATTAGGATCGAGTTAATCCGTCCGCTGGCAGTCTTCCAGGCCACGGTTTTAAGCGCACCGGGAGAGTTTCAAACGCCTCAGACTGTTCATGAGAGCCGGCTTCACTCTTTCTACCCTATCCCGTGAACCGGTACACTCCCCGAGTCGGTCAGTTGTCTGATCTGGGTGCTGGGCGTAGTGGCTGACAGAACAGGCGAGGTCGTCTGCGCGTGCCGCATACATGATCTGCCCGGATAGTTCGGCCGACGTTGCCGACGATGTCTACCGTGTGATGCACAGCATAGGTAAATAGGTACGATGCCTTGTGTGTGAGTTAATTTACAGTGATAATAGCCTTGCACAGCATCTACAGCACTCTCTCCTCCTCCTCCCCCACCTGGACCCCGTGTCAAGACAGAGTCAAGAAGACCAGAGGGGGCGACAGTGGCTCACACAGCAAATGACCTGGTTTTTGACCAGCAACAACAATGGGGGGGAGCAGGGGTGCCAGTGTGCGCGACGTCTGCCGGCAATCGGGTCTGTAATCGCACCCAGAAATGTTAACATTTGTTATGGCGCACAATCCGGTAACACCTGCCAGAATCCGATATGGCCCGCGTGTTGGTCCAGTGCATCTACCACGTTGCCCTTTTGGGGGGGGGGGGGAGGTACCCTCCCACACGCATACACGCGACAAACCAGGATTTCAAACAAAGGGGGTATGTCGCTTGGATCGCACATGTGTACGAGTGCCACGGTGGTCACATGAAGAAGGAGACGAAGAACACGCTTCCCACTTGCGTAAGAAGTGCCTATTCCGTGTCTGTGGGGTGAGTGATGTGGAACGAGTCCTTATGTGATTAAGTGCTGATGAAAATATATGCCGTGATAAGGTTTGGCCTGCGGTGGTTTACCGCAGAATAGTTGGCTGTTCAGAGAGTTTAGAAC